TCCATGTCCAGTTCTAACTGTTGCTTCCTGACCTGCATACAGGTTTCTCAAGAGGCAGGTCAGGTGGTCTGGTATTCCCATCTCTTTAAGAATTTTCCACAGTTTATTGTGATCCACACAGTCAAAGGCTTTGGCATAGTCAATAAAGCTGAAATAGACGTTTTTCTGGAACTCTCTTGCTTTTTCAATGATCCAGTGGATGTTGGCAATTTGATCTCTGGTTCCTCTGCCTTTTCTAAAACCAGCTTGAATATCTGGAAGTTCCTGATTCACATATTGCTGAGGCCTGGCTTGGAGAATTGTAAGCATTAGTTTACTAGCATGTGAGATGAGTGCAATTGTGCGGTAGTTTGAGCAATCTTTGGCATTGCCTTTCTTTGCGATTGGAGTGAAAACTGACCTTTTCCAGTCCTGTGGCCACTGCTGAGTTTTCCAAATTTGCTGGCATATTGAGTGCAGCACTTTCACAGCGTCACCTTTCAGGATTTGAAATAGCTTAGCTGGAATTCCATCACCTCTACTAGCTTTGTTCACAGTGATGCTTCCTAAGGCCCACTTGACTTCATATTCCAGAATGTCTGGCTCTAGGTGAGTGATGACACCATTGTGATTATCTGGGTCATGAAGATCTTTTTTGTATAGTTCTTCTGTATATTCTGTTGACATTTACTGAAATCACTTTGGTTAATTCTAGATGCTGTTTTTATGTTGTTAAAAGAAATCTCCACTAGATAGTGGCTGAATTGTCAATAAGAACAGACATTCTTTGCCTGTGTATAGAATAATGGAATCAACCACTTAGTAAAAGTTAATTAATATTAGAACTTTATTTTTTGTCTTTTTTTCTTCCAATTTTATTGAGGTATAATTGACATACAGCACTGTGTAAGCTTAAGGTGTACAGCATAGTGATTTGATTTATATATAGTGAAATGATTTATTTATAATCATTATGAAATGATTACCATAATAAGTTTAGTAAACATCCATCATCTCATATAGGTACAAAAGAAAAGAAAAAGAAAAATAGTTTTCTTTGTGATGAGAACTCTTAGAATTTACTCTTAACTATTCATATATAACATAGAGCAGTATTAGTTATATTAATCATGTTATATATTACATCCCTAGTACTTGTAAAAATTACTTTTCAAAATCTCTGTTATAGAAAATATGGATTATGTAAATGGATTTTAAAAGAGCATATGTTACTTTGTTTCAATCTTGTTTAGAAACAAAATAACATTTAATCAGACTTCCTAACCACACTTTCTTCTGTTAGTGGCTTCTACTATAATCAAGTTCCATTGTTTTTAAAACTTATATTTAGAATTAATTCAGAATTAGAACTGATATAGAGATTTCAGTATTACTGGTATCATTATACCCCATCTGTTATTATCACCAAACAAGCATTGAGAGATTGGTCTAGTTTGCTCCTGTCAACGGTCATTTCAATCTAATTTCTTTTAACTGGATTTTTATTGACCACAGCATAAATCTTAATAGATTGAATCATTTCTACATAAGACGTTTACAGTTCATCTAACTTAATAAACATATATTTTAAATTGTGGTTGACTACAACTAACCTTGGAGAATGAAAACTTTCTAATTTTTATCTTTATTTAATGTCATAGTTTGTGTCAAATATCTTTTCTCTTGAGCAATTTCCTGCTTAGCACTAAGAAGTAAAATGACAGACTATCCCAATCCTAATCCCTGTGAACCCATCATAATTTATTTAAAGAACAAAACGAATTACTTTGAGGAAGTGAGGGTGTGGTGGGAGACTAGGATCGAAATACACATTTTTGAGTTTGTTATAAAGCCAATTGCAAAGCCAATTCTTCCAGACTCAATGGGACTAAATATTTCAAATGGAAGTCATTAAATGACATGATTTTGCAGAATCAAATAAATTTTAAAAATATATTTAAATAATCCACATTATCATTTTGCAGAGCCTCAAAAACTATATAGGGTGCTGCCTTAAATATATATAAATAAGAAAAATAAACATTATCCCATTACATGATGAATTGAAATTTTGTCCCAAAATTCTAAAAACATTTGTTAGGCAGAAATTCTTTATGGTTTGGCTAAATATCCCTGGTGGCTCAGAGGGTAAAGCCTCTGCCTGCAACGTGAGAGACCCAAATTCGATCCCTGGGTTGGGAAGATCCCCTGGAGAAGGAAATGGCAACCCACTCCAGTATTCTTGCCTGGAGAATTCCATGGATGAAGAGTACGGGGTCACAAAGAATTGGACACGACTGAGTGACTTCACTCTCTTTCTTTCTTTTTCAACACTTCAAACAAAATCAGCTGATTGTTGCTGTTCTGGCCTCTTTAAAATGTGAATGTGAGCTAGACACATAGTCCAAGACAGCCATCATCTCATCTCTAAGCTGTTGCGCTAGCTTTTCCAGTGGAAAATGTCTTTCTTTTCCCATCCTAGCAATTTGATCTAGTCACTCATAGTGTACTCTTCATTTTCTGCATCTATATTACTTAATAATTTAGTCACACCTGTGGTATTGCTGTTTGGTTTTTATCCAAAAGTGAATGAGAGATTACCAAGGAGAAAATAATTTCCACTAGCTCCTCCTCCCCTAGGGGAAGAAAGCAAAAGATGTTTGCATAATCTTCCCAAGTTACTCATGAGGAGATCTATGTTGCATGTAGAGACTGGAGGACTGAGATATCCCTGAGCAAATTTTACAATAGACTATTCACTTGTATATCTGTTTTAAAGTTTTTGAGGTGAGTAGGAACGTAATCAAAATTTAGATAAGGGTCTCCTCCTGATTTCTTTTTTGTTTTTGTTTTTATTGAAGTATAGGTAATCTACAATGTTGTGTTAGTTTCAGCTGTATAGCAGAGTGAATCAGTGATACATATACATATATCTACTCTTTTTTAGATTCTTTTCCCATATAGGCCATTTACAAAATATTGAGTAGAGTTCCCTGTGCTATATAGCAGGTTCTTATTATCTATTTTCTATATAGTAGTGTGTTATATGTCAATCCCAATCTCCCAGTTTATCCCTCCCAACCCCCAAGAGTTTATCTCTCTCTACACCCTGGAAACTATAAGCTTGTTTCCTTCCTCTGTAAAGAGTCTCCTTCTAACTTCCTGATGAAAACTGGGTTAAACTGAAAATTTTAACTATAAAGACGGCTATCTCTGCTTTCTAAAAGAGACTCCTTGGCACTTCCAAGAGCAATTAAATAGATAACAGTGAAGTGACTCATCTATATGTCTAATGTTATTACAAATGTTGCAATAGATATTTAGCAGATACAATTACCATCTGTCTTGACTCATATATAAAGGAGGGGGAAAGAAGGAAAAGGAGCTTTTCCTGAACTAAGTAGCTTTAGTTTGGAAGGGGAAAAAAAAAGGAATAAGGAAAGAGAGAATGTGTGAATATAGCTGAGAAAGATATTTCCAAAAGTAGAATTAGCTGAACTAGGGAAGGCAAAAGAAATAATATGCAAGAACCAGTCTAGGAACTCTGGACTGGAAGTCAGACAGTCACTGGAATGAAACAGGCAGTTGGAAACAGAGGGAATTCTAGAAGCTGGTAAGAAGTCTGGATATTTAATATCTTGCAATCCAGTTAAGCAGCCACATTTACAGTAGTGTTCTGCCAGACTAAGAGAGTCCAGGGGCAGGGATTCAAGCCTTGGTAGCATACAAAAATGGTTATAAGCTAATAGGACCTAGATATTTGGATTTCAGGGTTGCTAGGACTCCATTCCTAGTCACAATAGAAATAATTAGCTAGAATTCCAAACATAGAAGAACTGCAGTATAATGCAGGTTATCAATACAAGATTTTAGGACACATCTTAACTGAAGCAGTATAAGTACTTCACTTTGAGAACTAAGGTTTAAGGTAGGGACTTGGTCATGGGACTAAGGGAAGCTAGAACCAATAAACATTATTAAAGGAAACAATAGCAAACTAGACCTGACTCAGATATTCTACACTTTACTCTTCACTGATTGGGACAATATTGACTCCATATTTCAGAGTAGATTTGTGGTTTTTTTGGGTTTTTGAAATAGAAGTTAAGTTGCTCCAGAAGGAGGTATGTAGAGGAAAATATAAAGAGCTCATTTTGTGCTTTATTCATTGATGATTTATTTGATCAAACATGAATATTTATTGAGCCTCCCCTACATACAGAACTCTGAGCTAAGCAGGATACAAAAATGCTAAGGAACCAAACTAAAATCAGAAGATCTAAGGCATAGTTCTAAGGCAGAGAGATAAATCTGAACTTTATGGAAAAAATACTATATTAGATTTTTATTTAGGAAAAAAAAATGCTATGGGAATACAGGAATTCCACTAACTTGCAAAAAAGTCAAGAAACATCCCTGAACAGGTGGCATTTGAAATTAATCTTAAGGTTAAGTTTATTTTTTCTAGTTGATGATATTGGAGGGAAATAAGCAGTAATATAAAATATGGAGCAATGGAATCTACACTTAAATAACATTAGTAACTGTCACTTAGAGTTTTATGTGTCATCTTTAATCTCAACAACAACACTGATATGCACCAAGTATCTCAATTTTACGGATGTAGAATCTGAGGTTCTAAGATGTTAAGTCATTCAGCCAAGTTCCCAGAGCTACAAATGAAAGAACTGGATTTTGGTTATTTTTGTTTTGTTTTTCTTCAAAAACACATGCTCCTTCTATTGCATGACCATGTCTCTGACATATCCTAGATGCATGAAAAGTGAAATGTGTCAGGAGTATAAACTTCATGGGCACTGTTGTCATGGGAGTTGGTGAAACTGGAGAGGCCTAAGCTACAGTGTGAAGGCTTTTACATGAAGAGGTAAGAAGGGAAGAAATTAAGCTTAAGAAGATATCTCAGGTCATAAGGTTTACTGAGATGGTATATTATTCATCATTTGGATGATGAAACCATTCTAAGAACTGTAGTATTTTTGAAATAGAAAGGATTTAGAAAATTATACAGTTCCACTCTTCAGATTTTTAAGAAGATGGAGATCCAGGTGAATAATTAAATTAGCCTAAAATTAAGACTTTTTCGATTGTACAGGAGAGCTTTACTGAACCCACACTTCTGCCTTTTAGGGTAAGTAACATAGGGCCACAGTTGGAGTGGAGAAGTGAACTCAAAAAAAAGATGAGGGACAGGGACAATAGTGTGTAAGACAGTAGAGTACGATGAACATTGAATTGAGAGATTAGGCAGCCAGGTACTCACTCTTAACCTTTCCAGTTCTGATGTTGAGGTTCCACAGGATGTTTGAAGCCTGAAAAGTATCAAAGAGATTTTCATTAGTAACAGCAAAATTCATTAAGAAGTTGATATTTAAGTGACCAATATAATAACCCAGAAAGGTCAACTGCTTAAGTATGTTCTTAAAATTATAACCTTTAGTTCTATGACTTTGATAATTACAACTACTAATAGGCCTAAGAATATTTTATACACCTATTAACCAAGGGCTTTCTCATCAAAGAGAAATTGAACTGACTCTAAAATAATCATAACAAAAATAAAAGGAAGAAAGAAAGGGAGGGAGGGAGTAAAGGAAGGAAGGAGGGAAGGAAGAAAGGAATGAAGAAAAGAAGGAAAGAAGGAAAAAAGGGAAGAAAGGAAAACAACCCTCGGCTGTGTCCTAACTGTAGACTTTTCATTACTGTTGACAATGAAAATGAGAGTCATAAAGAACACAGCTGGAATTTTAACTCTTAAGTTAAGATCAAAGATTTGGCAGTTAGAAAAATCATCCTTTGACTTGTAAACAAAACAAATCTTATATGGATGTCAGAATAAATAAAGTATTTCTTTTTTAAACATTTACTGTTTTGGCTAAGCTATACTCATCATACCTATTAAGAGATTTAAGGTAGAGAATTTATCACTCTTATTGCCATTTTAACCTCAGACACAATTATTTAAAATGAAATAAATATATACTTAGCAAACAAGAAAGATATATTACTAATTGTCCACTGGGCCGTCAATTGCCAGTTAGAGTAGCCACTTGTGTAAACTCTGTCAAACATGCTGACCCAAACACGTCTCTAGCGATTTCTAACATCTGGCTTAAAAGCTTCCCTGCAATTATTTTCATTTTGCATAAGCAAAACTCACTAAACCCTGCATCTGTGGTGGTGATATACAAAACATATAAATTTGGAGGGATTCATTAGATAATATCAAAGAAAATGCACCAATGGCTCGTTGCCATTTAACTCCTGCACTTTTGGTGAATTAGCCAGCAGTGAAGGCCTTTTCTCTTCAAAAGATTATACAGTTTATTATATACTGCTTCTCACCTTTTTTCTGATGTAGTTCTACTGGACTGTTTAATACATAGAAATTGACATATAGAATAGTTACAAAGATGAGAATACTTTTTTCTTGTACTTGCTATCTCTGATTTTCTAAAGAAAAAGGCACTAAAAAGATACAGGTTTCAGGTACATAGATAAGAGCTACTACCTCAAATTTTTGCTACTTTACAGTGTGGGCTTTCTTTTGGTACAGTTGTCTCGGAAGAATGCTTAAGACACATTAAACATATTGTTTTATCAAGCATTTTCCAAATTCTAGTGATGTTCAAACACCTAGATTCTCAAAACACAGCAAATATAGTCCTAAAATATAGATGCATACATATCGAATATATCACAATGTGCATATTGTGAATGAAGTATAGATATATTTTTTTTCTGATGTCAGCAAAACCTTTCCATATATCCTAACTTTCTTCTAAACTTGTCGTTTTCTAATTGTATGCTGGAATGCTGCAATAAAATACTACTTGATTATACTTTCATTTATTAACCTTAGTTAAACATACTGGCCAGGAGAATTCCATGGACTGTACAGTCCAAGGGGTCGCAAAGAGTTGGACATGACTGAGTGACTTTCACTCACTCAAACATGTTCATATCAAAATGTTCAAACCTGTTTTGAACACATGTTTATTTTCTTAGTACTCATCTTTGGTTAGGTATTTCTCTCAACCTTTTCTAGGGAAATTGGAATAGTCTAGGTCAGGTGATGTATACTTATTAGCTTCAAAACTACATATGTGTGTTCAGATTGGAGGAAAGGTCATAAACACAATGAATGTTGCTAGGAAACCATGCCTCTCAGTCAATTTAGTTGTGAAGATGAAAGGGTTTTTTGGTACAAAGATGGGCTATTTGTATAGTACAATGAATAATCATTTTATTTTGATCTTTGAATTTCTCATTTAAAAATAACACTCTTCATTAGTAGCTTTTCCTATTTATTACTTAGTTGGATTTCAAATGTTTCAAATTCAAGACATGAACATAGCTTTCTATGAAAAGAAAGATTTGTTGCAATTTTCATTTAAAGAAGATAATTTTGTTGGTAAATTTAGGGATATCTAATTCTTAGAGCCAGTCATATCAATCATAAAAAGATTAATAGTCAAACAATAAAAGTCAAGGAACAAGTAGCTAGGTCCCTTGAAATAGTCATTAAAAGGATTTTGAAAGCTCAAGTGCTGTAAACAACCCTGACACTTCTTTCTGTGTTTCAAAACTACAGCACTGTTATTGTGGCAACTTTTCACAAAAATTAACCTAAAAGAAAATAGACATGTTTTACTGGTCAACAACAATTAGAAGATCCTTGGATATAACTAAGTACTCTAATTCCACAGTAATGTATTAGCCCACTTAAGCACTTAATTAGAAGCTTATGTTGGCTGTGCCTGTATCTATTGATTTTGAATCAAAATGTAATTTTAACCATGTAATTTTTTATTGGTTCCATTTCATTTGAAATCTTAGTAGCATTTGGTGGTACAAGTTATGTTGATATGAGATTTCTAGCAGGTTAGTACTAGAATAGACACCTGGTTTTTTGAGTATGTGACTTACATTCCTTGTTTTTAATAATGTTTCTCTCATTCCACTTGATCATGGTAGCTTTGTCAATCACTTGATTTCACCACCCCCCGCCCCCGCCACAAGGGTGTATATGTCACTTAGGTTGGCCAATCAGAATAATTCATGGGTCACATGTGTTTAAGAAAAAGAAAAAAAGACCAATATGAATAGAACATAATCAGAGGTGAGGTGATAGGAAATGGGGTTGAGGGCATAGATTAAAGTCAGGTTATGGGACCAGCTAGACCTAATTGATATTTATAGGACATCTCACCCCAAAGCAATCAACTTCACCTTTTTCTCAAGTGCACATGGAACCTTCTCCAGAATAGATCACATCCTGGGCCATAAATCTAGTCTTGGAAAATTCAAAAAAATTGAAATTATTCCAGTTATCTTTTCTGACCACAGTGCAGTAAGATTAGATCTCAATTAGAGGAAAAAAATTGTTAAAAATTCAACCATATGGAGGCTAAACAACATGCTTCTAAATAACCAACAAATCATAGAAGAAATCAAAAAAGAAATCAAAAATGCATAAAAATGAATGAAAATGAAAACACAACAACTCAAAACCTATGGGACAGTGTAAAAGCTGTGCTAAGGGGAAGGTTCATAGCATTACAGGCTTACCTCAAGAAACAGGAAAAAAGTCAAATAAATAACCTAACTCTACACCTAAAGCAACTAGAGAAGGAAGAAATGAAGAACCCCAGGGTTAGTAGAAGGAAAGAAATCTTAAAAATTAGGGCAGAAATAAATGCAAAAGAAACTAAAGAGA